ATTGTTTTCTTTTGTATATTATTGATGTTCTTTTAGCTCATATTACATTTGAGTTTTACACAGAACGTTTGAATATTTAATGATTTTCTATATTTTTTAATTGTGAATAGTCTGTGATGATGTCATTTAATCGGTTTTAGATACTTTATGAGTGATTGTAGCAGATATAGCACAAGGTTAGCTCCTGCAGATTCCCTCTGTGGTGTTGTCTGCATCATTTCTCACTATCTGGCTGGCTCTGCTGAAATGCCAATTTAGTCAGTAAGGGGTCTCACAGCATAGTGATGGATGAAGGTTACGTCCTGTTTACCAGTGTGTTCTGCTACAGTTGACTGCATGATGAAAGAGATGCAGGGAAGTGTTGACATTTAGTTTTGTGGCCAGAGTAGATGTTTGTTTGTCAGGGGAAAAAAGCCTACCCCCAGAACAGATGAAAGAAATAGACCATTAATTCGTTTGTGCTGTTATTATTGGATGCACTTTTGCATAATCGTTAACTTGATGCATCTTTGTCTTTTTATTTGCACGAGCAGTATTTTCTTTTAGCCAAATCCCATTTTTAGTCAATTTACTTCCTTTATTTCCATCCAACCCTGGTCAAGTTAATCCTAAATTGATGTTCATAGCCTGGGATTGTGTTTATATTGCCACTCTAATCTCTCTTGAAATTAGATCAAAAATCGCATGCCTGAAAATCCAAAGTGGTTTCAGAAAATAAAATAATAACTTTCTAAAAGTTCTCTGCACTGCCAGCATTAGATGAACCAGTAACATACTTAATTGGATTTAAAGCCTTCCGAATAAACATGATGTTATTATGCATTTATGTTCTAATCCCATTTTTTTAAACTACAGATAAACTCATACACAACAAGAGAATGCTGTTGCTACATATTTGAAAGCCTGGTGTGATCTATGACACCACACTAATGGGAAGACAGCTTGTGATTAATAGAGATTATTTAGTCAAGGCAGACTAATTTGGCTAGTAATTGCTCCAATGTTTCAAATGATATAATATAAGGCAAGTCATTACATAGGCTTGGTAAGTAACACATAATGTGAACATTCTAAAATGTGATCACATGGTCCAGGATTAGGGTTCTATAAATTATATATATTCAGAATCAGTGTTTTCTAAATATTCAGCGGAACACATAACAATTTTACAAACTACAAATTACACAAATATATTTATTTTTCCGTCTGTCTGAGTATTGCACACCTTTAACAGCTTTTTTTCTCATCATAAAATCACCCTTTCTCTCTTGCGTCGAATTGTCCTTCCACCTCTCTCCTATCAGTCTGCTTTTTCAGCCCACAGATGCACTATAAATAATGCAGTCTCTTTAAAGAGCAAGTCACCCCCAAGTAAACTTTTTTTTTTGCTGATAAACTAAATAAACGAGTGTCTAATCATGTTGCAGACACGTGTAGACAATAATTTGGCACTTCAGTGCATCTTACTTAAAATTTAAATTTTCTGACTAAAACTGGCAGTGTTGTGCCGTTGTCAGATAAAAACTCTGCACTGTATTTTAATTTAAATCTGCCACCGCTATTGGCTAAGAGGTATGCTATGATGTTAACTGGTACATTATGATGTCACAATGCTGTCGTGAGCCTGTGTGTGTGTGTGTGTATTTGTTAGCAGCTCCGCCCTCTCGGTCTGCCAGGCAACAGCATGTGTTGCATTTTTCAAACATGAAGTGGGAGTGGAGTTAGACTCTGGTAGGGGTTGACTTACTCTTTAACAAGGCTTTTAAAAATCAAAGTCTCACCCATCTTGGTGCCTGCCGGGTTCTGTGTGGCCTTATCCTAAAGGAAAAATCTGTAATTTTGCACTAAAACAAGAAACAGCTACGCTACAAATCTGGAAGGGCCTTTATTTAAGATGTAAATACATCACCCATATGGATGGGTACCTTTGACATTTGAATCGATTCGGTACTAATTCCCGGTACCTAGGAATCGATATTATTAACGATACCAATTTTAGATACTTTTGAGTGTTTAATATTTAAATTCTCTTTTATAATTAAATATATATTTTTCTCAATTTATAACCATAATTGATAAATATCATGATAAATAACATACAACTGTTTGTATTTTAACATCGTCCTTGTAGTTTTATAAGCTGATAATTAAACTGAAGCAAACATCTTTACTGTGAACTAAATTTACTGTGTATCTTCATTCCTTTTGCCGTCTTTTTTCATTTGATTTTTCCTACTGGGAAGTTAGAATTTCCAAGGGTCAAACTCTGGTAACCGGTGATGGTTGTACCCAATGTGCAGCAGTACGGGGACCAGAGTGAATAGGGTGTGTATGGGGAGCATGAGTGGGTGTCCGGCGTGCATTTTTGGAAGTCTTGGGTTGTATGTGCATGTGTGAGCATGAGGGAGGGAGTGTGTGACTGTGTTTGTGTATGACTGTATATGTCAGGTGGGGCCTTTGGGTCCTCCCCTCTCCTGGAACTTCTCTTGATGATATAGATCTTTGTCCCCCCTCCCCCTGCCACACCTGGTGTGAGGGGTTGTGCCTTGGTCTGCCTGAGTGTTCGGGGCAACCGGGTCTGGGGGTTTAAGATTTTGGCATCTGCCTGATAGATCCCGGTGGCTTCCTGGTGGGGTCTGGGTCCCTGGGCTCTGCTGGGTCCCCGGCGGGGGTGGTCGCCCCTGGGTCCCGGGTCGCTGGGTCCCGGGCTCGGCCGGCTAGGGGGTGGGAGGCTGCGGGCGGGCCTGTGGGCTTGCCGCTGATGTCTCCCGGGACTCTGCCGGCTGCTGGTTGTGGCCCCCCGGGGCGATCCTCTGTGCCTCTCGAGGGGGGCGGGGGTCTTTCTGGTGGCAGTCTCCTTGGGGTTCCTGTGTTCTGGGGCAGCGCTTAGATCTCGGACACTTGGAGCTCCCCCCGTCTCCTGCGCATCTTTGGGGGGTGGATCTGTGGTCCCTCACACTCTCTATTGGACGCTCCTATAGAGAAACCTTAAATAAACAAGCACATGTACACACACAGGTGCTCACAGGGTGCTCTCAAAAGTATGGGTTTGGGCACATTCAACACAGGTCTTAAGACTATGGTGGGTACTTAATGCACTGTGATTTATTATCGTGATTCTTCAGTTAAGCAATGTTGATTATATATTTCTTCATCAAGTTGACGGAGTGATAGCTTGATCTTGTTGTATTGTTGTTGTGTCCATTTTTTTGCCCTTTTGCTTTTTTTTGTCTTTTTCTGCAGGTCTAGAAGCAGACTCTTGTTCATTATTGTTTATTTTTGTGGACCCCCCCCCCCCCCCCCCCCTTTTACTTTTCCTTTCTCTTTCACCTCTGTCTCCGTGTCTGGTCAGAATTACAAAGCATTCAACAACAATAACAATAAAGTTTTAAGTATCAGGCGTGACATTAAAAGCAAACGCTTTGATGCACCACCTGAGAGTAAATCTGTAAGGCTTGTCACCAGCATTCAGACATCAATTCTGCTTGCTTCACAGCCAGACAGGACACGGTAAACAAATAAACAAAAAAAAAAAGAATTACAGTAATCCAATCTTGATGTAATAAATGCATGAACTAGTTTTTCAGCATCACTCCTGGAAATGATGCTGCTAATCAGCAATATTCCGAAGGTGGAAAGGAGAAGTCCTACAAACCTGTTACTTTGTTCTCTGAGACTAACTTAATGCTGTTTAGGTCAGGTGATTGACTAAGCAGTTTCCTTTTCTGATGTTCTGGTCCAAAGCCTGGCTTAAAATTATTTTACTAATGAAAATGTCTCCACTTCACGGTTTCCATCTTGGATTAAATATGTAGAAAGAAAACTATTTACATGGCTAAGACCCCCTCTAGAGAGATGGACGCAAAATAGTCTGTGGTGAATAATATTTTGTCTAATGTGTTTTACTCCTGAAACACATGTTTAATAAACAAACGGAAAAGATTAAAAGAACATCAACACCATGTTTCTCATCAGAAATTCCAAATCTTATGAATATGCTAATAAGGCGATGCCTTTAGGCTCAGTGGCACACTACATCACACCCACAGCTGCAGTGTTGGTGGTCTGATTACACCTCAGCCTGAGCAAAGCTGGTAAAATTACACATTTCATTTAAAAGATTCACTGCCTTTCTTATGTGCATTTGGGTTTTATGATTTTTAGCAGCAGCAGAGTGAGTGGGTGGAGAAAGTTATGTTTTTTGCTAAATCCTGTTTCCCCAGGATGTTGGTAGACGTGGACTGACATTTTCATATCATTAGTTTTGTGGCACCTTCAAAAGCAGTGCTTTTTTCTTATGAATATTTTGAATATCTTGTTAAATCTGGAAGGTGCTGTATTACTATGCCACTGATGGCTGATGGAGGACTCTTAACTCCACTCCTCAGCAGAAATCATACTGCTTTTGTTTAACTTCCAACTCAGTATGCCTGCATATGAGTAAATCTATTCACTGTGTTAGACATTAAATAAAATGATGGCATGACTGGGTTTTTAAGTTACAGTCACCCAGAGGCAAAATAATACTGTAGTTTTGTTTATTATCATAAACAACATATGTGGCGAAATCCCCTCGGACAGAACATCTAACGCGAAACTAACGGTGGTGACGGGATGGCCCGCCTCCTTGTTTAGATACAGTGATTTGAAAGCAAGCAAGGAAGTAACTGTCATGAGGTGGTGAAGTGATCTAACCCACGACATACAGAATCAGATCGGAGACGGTTTTAAAAGGTTTAAATAAGGATTTATTGAAGGGAAACCAAGGGAGCAGCGTAACGAAGCTGAGTTCTTGCGCAGGGAGGCTGGTGCGGGAAAACTGTGGACAGATCGGAGTTAGATCCAATTTGCGGAAGGATCAGGAAATCAGACTTGTGCAGAGGACTTACGGTCTGGACAGGTGGGAACTGGTTTGAGGGAGGAGTGGTCCGGTCTGGGTAGCAGGGACTGAGATCCAGGAGTGAGACGTGGAGGGAGCTGAGCTTGGGGAGGTTCAGGAGGGTTAGGTGGGCAGCTGGAGGTGGTTCTGGCCAGGGGAGAGGCTGAGAGACGAGCGGGGTTGGAGCTTCAGATGATGCGGGCTCCAGAGTTCTGCCAGTCGAAGATGAGTGTGGAGGTTTTGTCTGGAGACAAAGCAGGAGGTCAAAAGGTCAAAATCCAATATCTAAAAACACATCTAGTTCTCAAAAAGTTAAGAGCTCGAATAAGTCACACGAGTGGCTGTTAGAAGGTACCCAGGTAGAGTAATCATCCAGCGAAGTGTAGGAGTCTCCCAGCTGCTTAAATACCCCTGGCCAGCTGATGAGCAGATCTGCTGCAGCTTGGTCACCTCCAGACACGCCCACCTGCAGAGGGAAACTCAAAAGACAGGGAGTGACAGCAGGGAAATACCTCAGACCGTGACAGTACCCCCCCCTCAAGGGACGCCACCCGGCGGCCGAGCAGAGGAGGAGGAGGAGGAGCGGGCCAACTCGAAATCCCGGATGAGAGAGGGGTCATCGATCCATGACCGCGGGACCCACTGTCGATGTTCCGGGCCATAACCCTCCCACTCGACCAGGTACTGGAAACCCCGGCCACGAGGTCGCACATCCAGAAGGCGCTGGACACGGTAACCGAGGCCCCCGTCAGCGAGACGCACAGGAGGCGGAGGGTCGACAGGAGGGCACAGGGAACTGGAGATGACAGGCTTAAGAAGGGAGACATGAAAAACGGGGTGTATCTTCATGTGGGACGGCAGATCCAAGCGGACGGAGGATGGGTTGATGACAGCTGAAATCGTGTAGGGACCGATGAATGTGGGGGAAAGTTTTTTGCAGTGGTCCTTCAATCTGATGTCCCTGGTGGAGAGCCAGACGCGCTGTCCAGGCGCATAGTCTGGGGCAGGACGCCGGTGCCGGTCGGCCAGACGCCGGTTGCGTTCTGCAGTCCTCTGTAGGGCCTGTTGCATGGCCGCCCAAACCCGCCGGGCCCCCTTCAGGAACTGAGGAACGGAGGAAACTGTGGAGGGAAATTCAGAAGGGAACAAACCGGGTTGAATACCTGTCGAGGCCTCGAAGGGGGATAGTCCGGTGGCGGAGGAGACATGGGCGTTATGGGCGTATTCGATCCATGGAAGGTGGGTACTCCAACTGGAAGGGCTAGAGGAACACAGACAACGGAGCATGGCTTCTACCTCCTGGTTTAGTCTCTCGCATTGGCCATTTGACTGCGGATGAAACCCAGACGTTAGCGCCACCTTAGCTCCTAAGCAGGTGGCAAAGTCCCTCCACACCCTTGAGACAAAATGCGGGCCGCGATCTGAGAGTATCTCCGCAGGGATGCCATGGAGCCTAAAAACATGCTTAACAAGCAGAGTGGCGGTGTCAGCAGCAGAGGGTAGAGCCTTTAGCGGCACTAGGTGGCAAGCCTTGGAAAAACGATCGATAATGGTCAAAATAACAGTAAAGCCTCGAGAAGGGGGAAGACCGGTGACAAAGTCTAGTGCAATGTGGGACCAGGGCCTGGAGGGAATGGGTAGCGGATTTAATAGTCCAAAAGGGGGTTGGTTACTTCCCTTATTGCGGGCACAGGTTTGGCAGGCGGAAACGTACTCCTTGACATCCTTAAACATAGTGGGCCACCAGAAAGTCCTCCGGATTAAGGCTACGGTACGACTGACACCAGGGTGGGCAGAGATTTTGGCGGTGTGGCCCCAGGTAATCACCTTATGCCTGACGGAAGGAGGAACAAACAGGGTGCGGTTGGGTACCTGATTGGGACAGGGGTAGTTCCTTTGAGCCTCGAGCACCTGATCCCGTATCTCCCAGGTAACGGCTCCCAGGACACAATCGGGGGGTATGATGGTAGTAGGCTCGGGATCTGAATTCACCGAGAACTGTCGTGAGAGGGCGTCGGGCTTGACGTTCTTGTTGCCAGGTCTATAAGAAATGATAAAGTGAAAACGAGAGAAGAACAAGGCCCACCTGGACTGACGTGGGTTGAGTCTCTTAGCTTCCTTGAGGTAGGAGAGATTTTTGTGATCCGTCCATATCACAATGGGGTGCTCAGCTCCCTCCAGCCAGTGCCTCCATTCCTCCAAGGCAAGTTTTATGGCCAGGAGCTCACGATCTCCCACATCGTAGTTCCTCTCTGCGGGTGAGAGGCGCCGCGAGAAGAAGGCGCAGGGATGGAGGCGGTGATCTGTGGGGGAGGTTTGAGATAGAACAGCCCCGACTCCCGTATCCGAGGCGTCAACCTCGAGTGTGAATTGCTTTGCAGGGTCTGGACGGGTGAGAATAGGTGCCTGAATGAATCTCTCCTTTAACTCACAAAAACTTCTGGCGGCTTCAGCGTTCCAAAAGAAAGGCCTCTTTACCGAGGTCAGTTGTGTCAAAGGGGCGGCTATCTGGCTGTACCCCTTAATAAACCGACGATAAAAATTAGCGAAACCCAAAAATCTCTGCAGCTGTTTGCGTGTGGAAGGAGTGGGCCAGTCCTTTACTGCCTGTACCTTTTCGGGGTCGGGTCCCAGCCTTCCACTCTCCAGTACGAAACCTAGGAACTTAACAGATGGGACATGGAATTCGCATTTCTCCGCCTTAACGTAGAGCCGATTTTCGAGCAGGCGTTGGAGAATGGCACGGACATGACCAGTGTGTTCCTCGGGGGTCCTCGAAAAAATCAAAATGTCGTCAAGATATACCGTGACGAATTTGTTCAGGTAGTCGCTCAAAACTGTGTTTACCAGGTTCTGAAAAACGGCGGGTGCGTTCGTGAGGCCAAAAGGCATGACTAAATACTCAAAATGTCCTATTGGTGTCTTGAAAGCCGTCTTCCACTCATCTCCCTCTCGGATGCGAACCAGATGGTAAGCATTTCTGAGATCTAACTTGGTGAATATGGTAGCGTCTTGTATGGGTTCAAATGTGGATGACAGTAAGGGTAGTGGATACTTGTTTCTTATGGTGATTTGGTTTAAGCCACGGTAGTCTATGCAAGGTCTCAGGGTGCCGTCCTTCTTGGAGACGAAGAAGAAGCCGGCACCCAGAGGAGAGGTGGAAGGCCGAATTATGCCGGATGCCAGGGACTCTGAGATGTACTGTTCCATACTTTCCCGTTCAGGTTTGGAGATGCTGTAGAGACGGCTAGAGGGAAGAGGTGCTGCGGGGAGAAGATCTATGGCACAATCATAAGGGCGGTGAGGCGGTAGGGAGGATGCTTTGTGTTTAGAAAATACCTGCTGGAGGTCATGATATTCAGGAGGAACCCCGGTGAGGTCGGGGGGTGTGATTTTCAGGGCTCGAGGCTCGGAACTAGGTCGGGCAGGTCCCAGACAGGTTGAATGACACTTGTTGCTCCACATCTCCACCTGGTTTGTGACCCAGTTAATGCGGGGGTTATGGTTCCTTAGCCAGGGATGACCCAGAACCACAGGAGACTGGGGGGATGGAAACACAAAAAAGGTGAGTTCCTCGCTGTGGTTACCTGATGTCATAAGGCGAATGGGTGTCGTCTTGTGGGTGATCGAAGTGAGGGAGCCCCCATCCAAGGAGGACACCCGGCAGGGTGTTTGTAGAGGAAGGGTGGTGACCCGGAGTTGCTCCACTAGCTGTTGGTCAAGGAGATTTAGTTCGCAACCTGAGTCAATTAATGCCAGAGAGGGAAGAGTTATTTGATTATGTGACAAAGAACAGTCCAATACACACCAAGAGTTTAAGTCTGACCGAGAACCACCCACCAGTACTCTCGGGGCTACTGATGGGTCCTGTAGTTTTAACTGCTTGGGGCAGTTGGCCACAAAATGCCCAGGCATGCCGCAATACAAACACGCCCCTGAACTCATGCGCTTGTTTCTCTCCTCTTGGGTTAATCTAGCTCGGCCAATCTGCATGGGCTCACTGGGGGGCGGAGCTGGAGCTGCTGGATTCACATTTTGCGGGCAGTTAAGACGAGATGGTAATGGGAAGTTGTTACCTCTTTGGCGTGCCTTATGTCTCTTTTCCATCCGACTGCACAGTGCGATGAGACTCTCGAGATCAGGTGGTTCTTGGCAGAACGCGAGTTGATCCTGAAGCTGCTCGTTAAGAGCCTGGGTGAACGCCCCTTTAAGCGAGGCTTCATCGAGGGTGGAGGTGGCGGCCAGCGTTCGAAACTCTATGGAAAATTCAGCGATTGAGAGCCTCCCCTGACGTAAACTCCAAATCTGTCTGGCCACATCGGCCGCTGACTCAGGCTTGTCAAAAGTCATTTTAAAATCTGCCAGAAACTCGTCTAACGAGTTCTTGAGGAAGCTCGGGTTTCGGCTCTTTGCCTCCGCCCACCGGAGTGCCTTGCCGCGTAGAAGACCGATGATGTAGGAGATTTTAATTTCATCGGTGTAAAAGGACTCCGGTGATCTTTGGAAAGCCAGCTGGCACTGGAGGAGAAAACCTCGACAAACCTCCCGATTGCCATCGAAAATCTCCGGTGGAGGAGAGGTGGCGACCCGGAAACAGGGTAGATCGGATGGTGCAGGGAGAACGGGTCCGGGCCGACTTGGAGCGGGGAATGAGGCTTGCTCCGGAGAGGTGAGTGGGTGGCTTAACTCCTTTATCATAGTTCCTAATTCAAACAAAGTCTGGTTAGTGTGGGAGAGTTGATCGGACAAAGAATGGAGCGAATTACTGTGCTGAGTCAGGGTGGCGGAAACGGAGGGAACTGATTCTGTATTGAGGTTAGAGGAATGGCTGGATGATTCTGTCATGAGGTGGTGAAGTGATCTAACCCACGACATACAGAATCAGATCGGAGACGGTTTTAAAAGGTTTAAATAAGGATTTATTGAAGGGAAACCAAGGGAGCAGCGTAACGAAGCTGAGTTCTTGCGCAGGGAGGCTGGTGCGGGAAAACTGTGGACAGATCGGAGTTAGATCCAATTTGCGGAAGGATCAGGAAATCAGACTTGTGCAGAGGACTTACGGTCTGGAGAGGTGGGAACTGGTTTGAGGGAGGAGTGGTCCGGTCTGGGTAGCAGGGACTGAGATCCAGGAGTGAGACGTGGAGGGAGCTGAGCTTGGGGAGGTCCAGGAGGGTTAGGTGGGCAGCTGGAGGTGGTTCTGGCCAGGGGAGAGGCTGAGAGACGAGCGGGGTTGGAGCTTCAGATGATGCGGGCTCCAGAGTTCTGCCAGTCGAAGATGAGTGTGGAGGTTTTGTCTGGAGACAAAGCAGGAGGTCAAAAGGTAAAAATCCAATATCTAAAAACACATCTAGTTCTCAAAAAGTTAAGAGCTCGAATAAGTCACACGAGTGGCTGTTAGAAGGTACCCAGGTAGAGTAATCATCCAGCGAAGTGTAGGAGTCTCCCAGCTGCTTAAATACCCCTGGCCAGCTGATGAGCAGATCTGCTGCAGCTTGGTCACCTCCAGACACGCCCATCTGCAGAGGGAAACTCAAAAGACAGGGAGTGACAGCAGGGAAATACCTCAGACCGTGACAGTAACTTAAATCATTATTTACTAGTGTTCTCCAAATGTGCACTTTAAAAGACTTTATTTTGGAAAAAATCACATCACAATAGCAATCACAATATTATTTTAAATTTTTGCTGACAATAGGCCCGTTTCCACTATCCGCTTCTGGGTAATTTTACCAGACCTTCACGGCATGCGCGTGTCTCCAAGCCATTTCAGGGACACACCAAAAATCTGTTTTATTTACTCGAAGTGGCCTGGTGAAGTCTCTGGGTGGGATTTATGGTTAGCTCATACTGATTGGTAGCCTGGCAAGCC